AACTTCATGTCCAAAAACCTGAACTATCACTTTAATTTTCACTTCCTGTACTTGTGGACGAGACAGAAACTATTTGGTCAATACTGTGGCATTGAGTCTCGATTGCCTCATTTCTTGGTTTCACTCAATTTAGACAAATCGTTTGGTTAGAAATTTGACTTTACCCTGACCCCTGTGACTCACTTTAACTCACTGCAGCAGCAGCCCCAGCAGAAAGGCTGGATACATCATATGATCAGTCACATCAATGTCACAGGTGTCGCTCACACTGGCAACAACTGTACTCTCCCCTCCAGGTGAGCTCCCCTCCCAGTGTAAGGCTGGTTGACCTACAGGCTTAACCAAAACCAAAAATGCCTATGAGGGTTGGACTCCTATGTGCCTTTGAAGGTCAATACTAATACCATTTGCAGTGAAGTTGCATATAAGTTGTGGTGATATTCCAGAGGAATTTTACTTTGAAAAACAGGACACCTAAACTGTAAACAAAGACCAGTGTAAATACCAGTGGTACAACAAGTACTCTCAACATTTTCTGGAGGAAAAATACTTATACCACCGTATGAAAATAAACCATTAAAGTAAAGGTCCTGCATTTTAAAATCCTACTTTAGTAAAGGTGAGGTGTGTAGCATTTAGGGCAGGGGTCAGCAACCTTAACTATCAATAGAGCCATTTTTGACCAAAAATAATTTTTAAAAAATCTGCCTGGAGCTGCAGAACATATTCTAGCCTTTTGGTAACACAGCCTATAAAGTCTAAATTAGCCTATTGACACTGAAAATAGGTGTAAATATATGTTATACTACAAGGTGGTTATTGTGCAGTGGGCTAGGCTTATGATTATTTGGTACTTCAACTTTGCAGCGTTTGCAGTGAAAGCAAACAAATCTGTCCATGCACTATTAAATTCTCTATTTTCCTCTGAGACTCACTTTTTCTGATTCGGAATCCATTGCTAGTCTAGCTGAGGAAGCTAAAGACTAGCCACCACTGTTAAGGTTTGGCAAAGGTGCCAGGCCATAGATGTATAATGCATATTGAAGTTGACGAAATGTTAAAAATGTTAAAACCTTCTTGTTTGTTTGTTTGTTTGTTTTTATTCAGTGCATAGGCTACACATTTTTTGGAGAATGTATGAATTTATTTAGGCCTACAGCAAAGATAAATAAAAATGTAAACTTTTGTCAAAAATGTAAACTTTTGTCAAAGCCACAGGGAGCCACTCGAGAGTGGCTAAAGAACATGTTGCTCTGGAGCCACAGGTTGCCTACCCCTGATTTAGGACGATATAGTGGCAGAAATGAAATGTAATATAATGAGTATATTTTCTTTACTGTATAACCATCTGAAATAACAATTGTGTTTTCATTACCTTAAAATGAGCCATTTACATCTACATAGGGAGTGGGTCCTCATCCACAGAGTCGGCCATGTTGCACCACCATGTTTCTACAGTGGCCCAGAATGGACAAACCAAGCACTGGTTCTAGATAGGGCCATTCCCATGTGTGCATCAGCCACTGTAGTTAGCATTCCCTCCATGATGAGCAGCTAAGGAGAAATGCTGATTTGAAATGTGAAATTGCTTTGTTGTGTTTTTACTGGTTTAAATCACTGGGTCTGTTTGTCTTGGCTCCTTGTAAAAATTTCCCTTGAATTAAAAGTACAGAAGTATCAAAACGAAAAAGAAACACTGTCAGCAGTTAAATGACCCCTATGACTGAAATATTATCTTATATGACATTATCACTGATATATTGATGTGCACGTTGCAGTTTATTGTTGTAGCTGGTCCACATTGAGCTAGCTTTAACTACTTCACATACAGTTCTGTAGTTCAGTCCAGTGGTTTCAATCCCAGGCCCCTCTAAAGTGTCACAAGATAAATCTGCAGGCCGTGGAATGATTAATGTTTCAAGTGAAAGTTTCAAGTTATCGGAAATCTGAACCGCTGAACCGCGGCAGGAATCTTAGAACTCAGGCTCCCTCCAACAATCTCATTAAATATGCATAAAAAGAAAGAAAGAAAGAAAAAGCAAGTAAAACTGAAGACATGGGACCTAAAATATTTCAGAAGTTAGGGCTACAATACAACATATATAAATTATAAAGTTAAAATCTATATGGAAAGAGAAAAAACATGAACTTCTGCTGCACCATTCTTTTTCTGACTTCTCTAATCTTTGCTTTTTTGTCAAACATTGAAATTTCAGCTCTTTTGGCCTTAAATAGTAATTTAAATGAGACAATATGAGAAGTTAAGAGGGGAAGTCACTCTTGGATGGAACTGCTAACAACTCAGACATTTGAGATGTATGAAAAGGCCCCAACCAGACACTGTTTTCTGTAAAGGTTACAAGCCCAAAAAAATGAGTTGCTGGTTTAATCTTTCGTAAACATCTCATAGGTTTCTGATGTAAAATCTTAGTATGAAAAGTAACTTATAGCTACAACTGTCAAATGAAACATAGTAGAGTAGAAGTACAAAGCAGCATAAAATGCAAATCTCAAATAAACCTACAAATGCTAAGGCAAATACTAAGAATTAAACTAAGGTCAATTTATTGATGCAATAAGAATATTAATGGATTACTGTTAAAACAAGATTTTACGTCAGAGTCAGTTCAGATTAAGAACTTTCATTAGACACTAATACAGTGTTTAATTTTACATAAATATGTAGTAAAACTGCATCATATTCTGTGATCAGTGATCAATAATTGTGACTGGACCAGATCTCACTTGTAATAAACGGTTAATATCATATCTATACTTTTTGTGATGTTTCACTGGTTTCCTTTCATTTCAAAGATATGATGACACCTCATTGCTGAACTAATGTTACTGAAGTGAAAATTATAAACTGAGAGTAAATACGCACAGCGACAGACCAGTTCGCTGCCTAACTTTCCACAGTATTTTCATGGAAAGTCCCAATTTGGAATAACAATAGAAAGGAAAATGAATTGTTCATTTGCAGGATTTTTTCAGACAAAACAATTAAAGAAGTAACCCACAATGATTCTAAAGAATCAGGCACAAGTTTCAGACCCAACCTGGGCCACACAGCCTTGTGGGAAATCCCCATTTCTTTTTAACAACTATTTCATTAGACTGCCCTACCAATGTAATTTAATGAATGCGTTTACACATTGCTTTAATTAACATATTTTTAGAATGAGTAACAAGACAACCATTTATTTCAGTTAAAACCATAATACTGTAAATGAACACATAGTTTGTACAGTCCACAGGAGAAGCTTCAGTTTCCTTTAGTTCCCGAAGTGACATTGTAATCTAACGGAGGGGGGTACCGTAACCTCCTCCTGTCCTGGTGTCACGTGATACAGCTCTGGTCCTGATGCTGCTGTTACCGGGACTGTGCAGTATAGGGAGTGATTAATGCCACACAGTAACGGGATGAGGAGAAGTAAGGGTTCTGTCGGCATCACAGTGGACTGTAAAATAAATGGTTTCTACAATTATCCGTGCCCTCAGAGGACCAACGCTCAATTATTAGAAAACCAAATTATGATTCTTGCTAGATTTACACATGCTAATGTGTTCATAATGTATCATAAATAAATCTAAAATGTGTTGTCGATGTTTGTTTTTTTCAAAGTTGCCATGAAATGCAGTTGGGACTCTAACATTACTTTTCTATTTACATGCAAACATTTCATCAAATGTGCAAAACATCTAAAGTTCAATTCCACATATATCAGGTCAAGGGCATAACTGGTTGGGGAAGTGGGGGATACCATAAAACAGGAGTTCTGGGAGTTCTCCCCCAGAAGAGGCAAAAAATTGTAGTTTGAACCCCATTTCTTGCATTTCTGCATAGATTTAGGGACTACGATAACCAAAACAAAATCCAGGAAATAGCCAAATTAAATTGGTTGTCATGCTAAATTCTGCCAGGAAAATACTAAATACGCAAAATATGCTACTCCTCTGTGGCTGTTTTTTTTTTTTTTTGTTTTGAGGATATCAAAGCAACAACTAAGCAGGTCAATTTACATTCTTAGCCAGAATCTGACAGCTGAGAGAAGAGTAGTATGATGTAGCATGATGTTTGTATGTTGATGCATGATGTTTGTTGTTTGAAAAATTCAAAGTTTTTGAAAGTGGGGGAACACAAACAGGAATTTGAAAAGAGTTTGATCTCAAACTCAGACCAAACTGTAAAACTAGGCAGTGCTGATTAAATATAAACCGAGATACTATTGATGTGTTGCCTATTTCTCCCATAAAATGTTTTCAGAAACGTAGTTTACTGTACTGTTTAGCTGTATTACGAGAGTTTAAGAACAGGAAGTGGGCGCCATACTGTTTCCTTTTTTTGTTGAAATGGAGGCTGAAAATACTGAGCTCAAATGGTAAAACTAGGCAGTGCTGATCAAATATGAACCAAGGTCCTGTTACTGGGTTGCCCATTTCTTGCTTCAATGTTGTTTATTACCAGCCAGCCACCATATTGTTCTTGGATTAGGCAATTCTCATTACTTCATGTTCCGGTGAGGCACAGTGCATTTAGCTGTAGGTGTCCTACCTCTTGAGCAAAAGCTTCTCGTTTCTCTGGTCATATAGCACCAAAGTCAAAAGTATTTGCACCTTTCTAATGCATAGAGAGGCCAGTTTTATGAAAAGACTAAAGGCCTCTTTCGGGCAGTGAAATACTTTAATGTAATCACAAAAAGTTATGGTAGTAACACTACACTGTTTTTTTTTACATATATATTTATTCTTTTTAGCTACTTGACCACTGATATAAGCAACCACTGCCAACTGACATTTTATGTTTAAATGAACAAATCATGGTATTTCTAGCAATCACTGAGACAATTAATAGCCCTGCTTGTTCAGTTCAGAATTCATGGCTTGTAGCTTTAAGACCTCCTCCTGCTGCGTTGAGGCACTAATCACCCCTCATACAGTAACACGCATCATCGGTGCTGATCTGGAAATTCCCCCTTTTCTGCCATTTAAAAGCTCCACTCTGAGGGCAATGTGAGTCCAGCACTTTGCAAACCAAAATACCAGTTTGTGAGCAAAATGATGTAGTAGTTAGTGCAGCGGTAAGGACAATAGCAGAGAGCAGGTGTTGCATGTTTTTTAAATGGGAAATCTGTTGGGCAGCTGGCGTTTCAAGGAGCCGAGCACCGTTGAGGAATGCGACTCGACGTGGGGGTCGGACTCCGACAGCGACGAGCCGGCGGCTGAAGATGACAGCGGCATCTCGGACTCCGTCAGCCCGGCGGAGAGTGACCGGGCCACCGGGGACCCCGGGGACACGTCCCCGCAGGTACAGTGAGGGTTTAATAGTATGCGTGTTATAACACAATGGGGGGCAGAACCGGGACACAGTGCTTTGACATGTGTGCCACCGGCAGCGCACGTTAATGACGAGGCCAGGACACAGAAAGGGCAACCGAGTAGCCCCGACTACCACTGCCGGTCCGGTCCTTACTGCTAAACCAAACTTCATTCAAAAATATGTCAGTTTATGTAGCCTTGGTTATGTGGACAGATATCATCTCACATAGTGTGAACTTTACTAAGTCATCACTGTGGCACTTCTCTTGTTACTGTCACTTTCACCAAGATACACAAGTGATGGGTGTCAGAGAACCAACTGTTAAACTGATGTCACATCTGACATGGAGTGAATGAAGTGAATTTTAAAAGTATGAAGTCTTATTTTGTATACTGTATGATGCATATCAACGCGACTATGTGGTGCTGATATGCTTGCAAAGACTGCATTATGCATGACTACATACTGCACACATACTTGTGTTCATACGTTTACACATACATAGTTAATTATCAGAGATAGTTGGTTATTCCCGTTGTTGCTTTTCCTATTGAAGTTACACTGCCTGCCTGCTGGTTTATAAAGTAAAAAAAAAATAGAGCCTTATGATTATGGTCCCTGTGCCCTAAATTATCAGAATAGTTGATTGAGTGGTTATTATGAGACTGCTTCACAGTTTGAGAATATTTACACCAGTAGGTTGTAACATGATTATTGGAGAAACTGTAATTCACTGAATCACTCTTTGTTACGTGTTAGTTAAATCAGACTTCAGACTCAATCAAATTTTTTTTTGCCATGATTACCAGAGGCACCACCCTGATATAATGCTGCCTGGAGAAAATAATTGGAGGCATTACTGTCTTTAAGAGGCTGTGGTGCACTCATTTTGTAGCTGGCATGAAGATAGTGGTATCCTCTGAAACTACTTGTAGAAGAACTCCCGCACACTGTCTAACTAGCAAAAATAATGATATTAATGCTGTGACATTTCAGTAAGTAGACCTTCATCTGGCATTTTTGCTTCCTGTTGATGAATATCTAGTTACTGAAACATACCATCATTAAAATCATTATTTTTGCAAGTTATTCTACAAGCTGTGTTCTGCTCATCCCTCTCCTATGCACCTGTTTGGAAATAGATGTGCAAAGTATTCCTTTGTTCTGCTTTTCTGAAACTTGACAACCAAAGGCATCCATTGGTGCCAACCACATTATTGGCATAGGGTATATCAGGCATAGCAAATCTGTGAATCCTAAAATAACGAGGGAATGACCCGCCTTCTTCTCCCTATAACTGGCTAGTACTAGTTGCCTTCGTTGGTTGGATTGGTTAGGTTTAGGTAAGTGGAGTGGGACTGGTTAGAGTTAGGGTAAGTATGTCGGGGTAGGCCAATCAGAGGCAGAGTAAGGTGGGCCATTCATCTGTTATCCAAGGATTCGCAAATTTGCTGTCAGGAGGGGAGCTAAATAACGCTCCAAAGTAAGGCAAATTTTTGCAAGGGAGCACCTGCCATGGTCATTTTCAAAGGGGTTCCTTGACCTTAAGATATCTGAATAATAAATCAATCAGTGATGGATCGCCTAACACATGTATATACAAATACATAACACTTTCAAACAGGATTGTTGTGGAACTAAAATGTTTGCTGTATCGGTTTTAGTCTATGCATATCAGATAATAAGTAATGTTAACTATAAAGTAAGAATTCAGTATATCAGCGTGTGAGTCGAATTCCTGAAATTCAGGTATGGCTTTTGATTTTGTTGTGCTACTCCAAGAGTTTCAGTGGCACCATCTCGCCACCTTTGCTTAAAACTTGTGCGGGTGCCACTGATGATTGCAACTAGAAATGTCTGTGAAGTTAGGATGCAGTTTTCAGATTGTAATGTAATGTCAGGATCACAAGAGCCACAAATGTGGCTGTAAAAGGATGCACAAATTAGGATGTGTCACCTAGTACATAGTTTGAGGTTTTGGGTGATGTTTTTTAAACTTTATCATACCTGAGTTTTACTGTGGTTAATAGACTATCCAGTAGATGGTATGTGGTTAGATATAACAGGTTGTATCAGGCTCAGTGTCACAGCATTTTGGACCAGTGGAAGATAGCATGACCCAGATTTTATTTGAGAATCAGATCTAGTTTCTAGCATCCTTTTGTAGTGATTGCATGGCAGTGCTGATGTGAATTGTCCTCCTTTGCTGGAAAGAAATGGATGATGACAGCCATCGACCTCAAAAGCAAAGTCAGTGCTTTTAATTCAGCTGAATGGTCGATGAGTGCTGTACTGCATCTGTTAAAACATGGGATGTTTTGGCTTCAGATCTGCATTTGAACCTATTCTTTCTTTCTCTCTCTTTTTCTTTGTTCCTTTCCTTTTAATTTCTCTCTGTCCACCTCTCTCAGCTGACTGAATCTCCAGAGTCTATTCCAAAGATGAAGAGGAGTTTCTACGCTGCCAGGGACCTCTACAAATACCGTCATAGCTACCCGGTACATGCACACACACTGAAACCATTGATACTCACAACTGTAGATACACAGTGCACAGATGGCTTCTCTGTATTGTTGACACCTAGTGTGATCTCTTTGATCTGTGTGTTTGCAGAACTACAGAAAGTCCCGGCAACCCAATGAGTACCGTAACCTGCGCTTCTACCTGAACAAGATCCCGCTAGTACCTGATGGTGAGAGCTCTCTCTGTCACATGCACACACACACACACACACACACACACACACACACACAGAGTTCATGTAGACCTCCAGCCACTGTGGAGAGAACAAATGTTGGCTTTGGGCTTAGTGAGTTTTGTTTGGCTAAAGGTCATGTTTGACTGGGAAAGACCAGCAGATTAGTGGACTGATCCAATGTTTAGACACGCTTACACACGAACACGGACTCACTCTCTCACACACACACACACACACACACACACACTAGAAATGTGTATGGCCGCTAATTAACCCCTGTCTTTTCTCAGGTATCTACATAGAAGAGATCCTGACTAAGTGGAGAGGCGACTATGAAAAACTGGAGCACAATCACACCTACATTCAGTGGTGAGACATTTAATCTGTCTATTTCCATTTTCATCTGCCCTATATGTGACAGCACCAACTCCTCAGAAGAGACTGGACTGTTAATTGCATGCTATAAGCCACAGTAACTGACATGTCAAAAGCTTGCTCTTTACTGTCAATTTGTGAAGTAAATGTCACCAGAAATGAAGTGAGCATTTAATCAGCTATACTTCCTGAATGTAAAATTGGAATGGATTTGAAACTGACTTTTGGCTTTAGTTACTGTAGTTAAATATTGAAAAAAAGGTTTTTTGCATGGGGGAGGAGAAAAAGTTGGTATATAGATAAAAAATAAATACGACCAAGTGCAAAGGAAACTGACTAAGGAAGGACTAGGAGACTAAGGAAATAAATGATGACGTCATTGCAAGCTCCCTCTGTCGTCACTGGATGGCTTTTAACACGCTTGTCCACACAGGGTTGTTACCAAAACTCTTTCAAGAACACATAGCTGTAATATTTATTCTACAGATTTCCATTTGTCCACATTTCATTGTGGATAGAAACACACATACATTTGCATTATTTTTTTGCAGATTTTTGAAAATTTGTTAAAATTTTTGGAAACCCAGCTACAGTCTAGCCAGGGATGGTTAAAAGCACACCTGTTGTTCAGTTATAGCTACTGTAGCTAGCTGGTTAAACTAACCTTTGTTAAACTAAAACCCTGTCTCCGGCTGACTTTTTATGTATCCAGCTCGTTTAAAATGGGAACCTTGGGTTAAATGGTTAAATGTTTAACTGAACAAACAGAAATAAAGAAATAACGTTGTTTTGCTGTATTGAGCTTGTTAGTTTAGTACTATAGACACAATGAGGAGAAATGTAATTCAAATGTAAGTAATTTAATTCTAGCATAACCCTTTGTGGCTAGCAGAGCAGTTTGTTTCACTTCTTATGTTATTTCAAGACATAAACTTTTAGAATGGTGACTAACTGACATTTCTGCCAAACTTATCGCTATCTTGGGTCGTTAATTTTGGCTGAGGTTGCTGGAATTAAAACTTCCCCAAATCTAATGCAAAGCAGAACAGAGCTGTTGATATTTGCCTGAACTCTGAATCATCCAGGACCAGCTTCCACACAAGAAAGAAATATTACAGAGTGGATGTGCTGCTTGGACTGGGGCTTTTTACATGTAAATGTAACCTGTGACCTCACAAACTAATGTCCCGTAAAACTTCAGTTAAAAGCTTAGTCCCAGTTAAGCACACAGTCCCTTTTACTAGCAGCTACACATTCTGACACGTAAATGCCTGTCTTAATTAGACGCCTGGTCTGGTTGCTAAGTGGTTAATTTTTTTAACTTTAGATGTATGTGTCCATTCCTCTATTACCCTGTAAGTTGTTCATATTCTTTTAATCCGTAAGGGTCCTTCGATCAAAAGAATCATAAAAATCGATCTAAGTTGTGAGTATTGTTTTAACAGAATAAAGTGATGTTGTGTCGGTATACTGGGTATACTGGGTGCCATAATCACTCGCTCTCTGATGTGCTGTCTGTCAGAGCTAGAATGATTCATAATTGATACGTTATTGAAAGCGTAATTTTTAAAGAAGTAATATTCATACTGGTTTAAATAAACAATTTGATTGTTTTTCCCAATCTTTGCACAGTTTTGTGTGAAAGGAAATATAGGCCTGTCTTATATAGAAGCCTGTCCCAAATATAGGCCCGTTGATTTCAGCGATTTAGACAAATAATAGCCCGGGCTATTAATTGAAGTTTTAGAGTTATTAGTTAATGATGTGCTAACTCCTTGAAGTAATGCTACGTGACTACTGTAGGTAGTGGGCTGGTTAGCAGGACATGCTAATATTTGCAGATTACATGAGAGGACTGTTAAATTCACTCTTGCCATTTTTTTGTTGTCTTCCCAAAACTGAAAAAGAGGCATCATTATATTCAAACTATCTTTCTTACTACATCCTCATGCACGTCATTCAATATGTGGAGAAATCCGAAGCCTGACAAGCCTACCAGGCCAAGTTACAGTTGGTTAGCTATGATTGATGGGGGGGGACTATTTTCATTTGATTATGTGTTTTTGATTCCTTGTCCTTGTGGCAGGCTGTTTCCGTTAAGAGAACAAGGGCTCAACTTCTACGCACATGAACTGACTCAGGACGAGATCAAAGTAAGAAACATAAAGCACACATAGTGTGTGTGTATATATATCTGATTTGTTTGCATTTCCTCACTGCACAAGTGTTTGCCGTGGTTGAGTAACAGAGTGCATCTTCCATTCAACCGGTAAATTAAAAACATTCCCATTAACACAATGGATGTTTTGACATTTAAAATGACAGAGTACTGTTATGTGTTGCATATTCATCATTATGTTCCCTGTATAAAGCAGTTACACAAGTCACTCAGATGGGACAATAAAGAACCGCTAAAAAAAAAAAACTAAGGGAAATACTCAGGTCTCTGTATAAATCTCACATCAGTTTGAACATTATTAATGTCAATGCTGAGAATGCTTATCCACTTGTATGTTTGTGTCCCAGGTGTATTTATTCAGCTGAAAGTTAGTTTTTCTGAAATTAATTAACATCCCACTGTCAGTGAGTGCAGATGTGTCCCAGATGTGGTTTGGGTAATGTTGTACCTGCCTGCTGGTCTCTGATCTGCTGTGTTTAATCCTGTCAGGAATTCCAAAGCACTCGGGAAGCTAAGCGCAGATTCCTGGCGGCCTATTCCCTGATGTTGGACTTCTATGGCATCAAACTGCTGGATAAGAGTGGGAATGTTGCTCGGGCTCCCAACTGGCAGGAGCGCTTCCAGCACCTTAATGAGTAAGCACACACACAAAGTTTGTGTCGACTTATGGCTCGGTTGCCGATTGCTGCAGGAACAGATGGTTAAGGGGTCATTTAAAGGGTGATTTTTTTCTCTCTCATCCTATTTTGATAGTTTCATGGCCTGAGAGTAGTTGTGTGGTTTCTTGCCAAAGAACCACGTGAATGTCACACACTGGAGTGTGCAATTTTGATACAAGCATGTTTTTCTCCTCGGTGATACTACCATACCCTCCTCAAGTCACAACCTACCTCTAAACCTTAGCATCTGATGCTAATTGTTGCCATTATCCAAAGCTCATTAAAAACAACAAATTCTCCTCCATAAAGCAGCTGCTCAGTACAGTTGCATTCCCTTCTCTTGCTTTTAATATCCCATTGAATATACACAACAGCTTTTGCATGTGGTGCACTGTGGTTTCTAGATTGCTCTCAAGCCAAACAACCACCAGAAACAAGCTATTCTTAATAATTAATGTCCTGTACTGTCAAAGACCTCAGAATGCAAGTGGATGTGAACACCATGAGTCATGCAGTGTTAATTTTAGCATCTGAAGTTGATTAAGTTTTTTCCTGAAAACGTATTTTTGTATATTCACAACAAATATTAAAGACAATTTGGTCTGATTTTTCTTTAGAGAAATATGAAAAAAGTTACATTTGTTTGAGTTCTTTAAAGGAACAGTCATCCCAAAATCAAAAAATATTTCCTCATACCTCTTGTGCTATTTATCATTCTAGATAGTTTTGATGTGAGTTGCTGAGTGTTGGGGATATCGGCCATAGAGATGTCTGTCTTCTCTCCAATATAATAGAACTAGATGGCACTCAGCTTGTGGTGCTCAAAGAACAAAAGAACAAAACATTTAAAAAACTGAACAGCAATGTCTCTTTCCCGAAATCATGACCTGGTTACTCAAGATAATCCACTGTAGTTTTCGTTGATGAAATTCACAATAGGGTCATAAAATAATAGTGGATGAAGAATTCACCCATCGGTTTGTGGACTTCTGTTTTGAATCCTCGAGTTTAGCATTTTGGCATCTCCATCTTGGATTTTTGGAGCCAGAAGTGACCATACTCTGAAGAGAGAGGGTGGCGCTGTGGAGGACCGAGGGTTACATGTGACTCATAGACTGTGGTGACAACTTGTAGACAGCCTTGCAGTGGCCACACCTTTATTTATGCATAACTTTAAGCCTTAATAAAATGTAAATGGGGGAGTTTTGTAAAATTCACCCCTGTATAGACCAAAACTGTTTTTTTTTGTACCAGGCTGTAAACATGTTTATTTCTGCTGTAAAGCTGGACATTTTAACATGGGGGTCTATAGGGATTATCTCACTCTTGGAGCCAGCCTCAAGTGGCCATTAGAGGAACTGCATTTTTCGGCACTTGTGTGTTGGCTTTATTTTTCAGCCACACAGGTGGTGCTTGGTGGAGGATACTGTAGAGTTACTTTTGACTTAGTTTTAGTCATGTTTATGTTGTGAAATAAAGGGGATTATAGTATTTTTTGCCATAGTTTTCATTGATAAATTCATACTTGTGTCATTATACAGAACCATTCAATATGAAGTAATATCTCATCTACTACTGATAGAAGGTTGCATTTTTCCCAGGAGCATTTTGACTAGTCATAGTAAAAATTTTCACCTTTCTTTTAAGGTCCCAGCACAACTACCTGCGGATCACTCGCATCCTGAAGTCCCTGGGCGAGCTTGGCTATGAGGCCTTCAAGGCCCCTCTGGTTCATCTGTTCCTGGAGGAGTCGCTGTGCCACAACACCATTCCCAACATGCAGCACAGCGCCTTGGAGTACTACGTGTACACCATCCGCCTGCCAGCCACCCGCAGACGCCTGCTCCGCTACGCCCGCCAGCACTACAAGCCTGCCCACGCCTTCCTCTGGGGTCCGCCACCTAAAAGGCGAGGTGGTGCTGGTGTCAGTGTCGGAGGCAGTGTAGGTGCTGGGAGTAGTGGGATCAGAGCACCTGCTCCAACACCAGAGCAACAGAGGAGGGGGGAGGAGAGCACCGCATCTGCCAGTAGTGGGATTATTGTGTCTTCCCATGATGCCATGACATGCCAGGACCTGGCTGGAGGAGGGCTAAAGGGCTGCGCAGGACTCAGCTCTGATATGGCAGGACTGGAGGGAGCGTTGATGATGGTGGGAGCTAGAGGAGAGAGGAACGAGTACACTGAGATTGTTCCTCTATAGGGGAAAGGGTTTGACTGTTCTCTGGTTTTAACACCAGAAAACAAAACAGCTATTTTTAAAATTAACCGGTTTAATTGTAACATTAAAAAAATCATTGTTTATGCCACAACTTTATTCTTAGCAGAGTTACTTGTGGACGCTGGAACTTAAGATCAAGACAGTAATACTAAAACGCATTTATAGAGTCTGACAAAATTGTCATTAGTCAATTCAGTTTAAGGGCTTACCATAAACAACTATATTTCCTCGCTGATGAATCAGTGCAACTCTGTATTGAATATAGCGTGGGACTGAGATGGGAGGTCATATCCTGAGCCAAGCTGAACAAACTCGCCTTGGACCAAATCCCAAAACCGTCTAAAAACCAGTGGAGACCCAAACACGTGTTACAAGGCCTTTCCTCATCAGGGCTATGATAATGAGACAACTTAGTCAGCCTTATTGAATGTTTAGGTCTGATATGTGGGTACTGATACTGAGGACCATGTTAGAACCAAAGTGCTGATTGGCCTGTTGGTCTTGTGATGGTTTTGGGAAACAAAGTCCTGTCTGTTCATCAAACTCTGTAGCTGGAGCTCCACTGAGCAACAAGCTGGACTGTGTTCACTTCGTACAGGTGCTGAAAAGTGGAAATTATAATGTGAAGAAGGAGATCAGGGAGAAATTATTATTATTATTATTATTTTTTACCCAGATCCTGTAAAAGGACATAATGAACACATAAGAGAGGAAGAGTGAAAAAGGCTCATGTGTCATAGCAATACTTTGGAAACATATTTTTGAGACTGATTTGAAATCTTCAGTCTGTTGTTGATAGTAACATGCACAACTCAATATATATCTGCTTGGCTATTTTACTGCCCACAAGTTGAAGGTAGCCGCTCCCCCCGAAATATTGTACATAACGATAGAGCAAAAATCAAGACTTATTAGTGATGTGTTATCTAGAAGAAATAGTTAAGAATAGAGAGGCTTTTTAGTGACATCACTACTCTCCTGTAATCTATGACTGGCACCGTGGAGGGCCACTGGAAAGGCAGCTATGTGCAAATGATGGCTAAATATAGCATCTAACAATAGGTCAAGCTGCTGCTGCTGTTTCAAGGCAAAGGGAGCAGTGTCGATAGAAAGATGTGTTTCAAAATGTAGGTTACTCTGACTCAGTAAACGCTCTTTCTTCGCTCAGTTTTTAATAGATAAAAACATGTAATAACTCAAATGCATTCCACAGAGCCTGACAGTAAGTCCACTGAAGAATTGACGTTCAGTGCATTTGCTATGTCCACTATGGTTTTGAAATCTATGGAGCCCCTAAAATCCTGAGAGGTGATTTTTTTGTGCACACAAGAAAACTTGTTACTATAAAAAAATAACTTGTGCACACTAGAAAATTTACATGGTCCCACAAGTTAATTATATTATAGTAACAAGTTTTCTTGGGAACAAGATATTTGACTTATTCCCACAAGTACATTATATTGTGCGCGCAAGTTACTACCTTGTAGGAGCAACATAATAACTTGTTCCCACAAGATATTAACTTGCTTCCGCAAGAAGTCGTTGGAACAAGTCAAGTATCTTGTTCCCACAAGATTGTTGCCTCGTAAGAACAAGTCATTTATCTTGTGTGCACAAGTTATCTTCTTGTGGGAACAAGTTCTTTTCCTGTTCCCACAAGATAATGGACTTATTACCACAAGTTAATTATCTGGTGGGAACAAGTCAATTATCTTTAGGGAACAAGATAATTGACTTGTTCCTTTAAGTTAATTTTCTAGGAACAAGATAGTAACTTGTTCCCACAAGATAATTCATTATCTTGATATCTTGATCTGATTATCACCTTTCAGGATTTTACAGGCTGTGTAGAATCCAAAATGCTTTCACACATTATGTTTCAGCGGTTTGCTAATTTCCTCCATTCTGTGTTACTGAAGTGAATGACACTTGTCTAGTTTATTGAGGCCAACAGGGCATGCATTAGATCATAGTGCATTTTACAGATGCCTCACACTGGAGTCATGACATCGTGTGCTGCAGTTGTGAATATTGAATTCCAACAGATCATTACAGATTCGATATTTAACCTCTTCCATGTTCAAATTTTAAATTAAAGGTGACTGTGTCATAGCTAACACACTGACTGCTATCATTAGTAAAATGCTTTTTTCAGCTGCTGTTAGGCTACCAATAGCATAAAACCTCCAATATGGCCACCACAGAGTGTGTTGTGTCACCTAAAAGCCCTCTATATTAACTAACCAAGGTGATTGGATGTGAACTGTGACTAATGTGATCAAACAATTGATGTGTGGTGTGTTGCACTTTTTTGACAATCTGTGTCTTCCTGTTGAAAGCGCTGTAGGTTTCTCCGAATCACTGATTTAGAAACAGATCTTCAGATATACAACAAATACAACAAACGGTCAGGAACTTCCAGCATCATGAACGTGATTGATTGTTCTCATAGTGTCTAACCTTGCAATAATTTGACGGTAATCTCAACGAGGCTGCATGTAGTGGGCAGTGATACTGTTGATGTTATCCCTCTGAATCAGACAACTTGTACAAGTGCAGCTGCTGATATTATTGTCAGAATTTTAAAATGTTAAATTTTGTTCATTTACATGCCAAAAAATACCCCATACAATGTTATTTCCCCCGGAGCAGTACTCTGATAAGGGTGCAGGAGTCACTACATTAGCACTAATAAGGCTACAGTAATTGAACTCTCCCCTGAAAGACTTGTTCTTTTTTTAGGTTTAGCAGCTGCTTAAGAAAGTGAAGCTGATTTTACACTCACCTCTGACATGCTGTTAACAAACATATCATCACCCTCATCATATCAGAGGTTGGCAGCATCACCTTGCTTGTGTTTCGTTTTTATATGAAAGGCCAATATTAGCCTGACACATCAGGAAGTGTGTATTGCTCTGTCCAGTCAGCCAATAGGAACTCGGCACAGGCCTACACAGACAAGTTAAGGCCGTTTTGTTTAATATTAGGTAACATTTCAAACACATTTAAGTTTCTCATTGCAATATATATTTGTGATAGAAAATAAAAAGCCATGTGAGGTGTGAGACAGCAGTGATTGGGAATTTAAACACTCCTTCCTGACTTCCTGTCAGCTGTTCTTCCTGTAGGATGAGGCCTTTTTATCATTAGCTGACAAGGCCTCTACATTGCTCCCCAGCCAAGTGTATCTGATATAATTGTAAAAATAACTTTTCAGGTGAATTGTGTGAAAAAATGGGCTCAAGTATCTGAATTTTTAGTGTGTGTACATATGTGTGTGTGTGTGTGTGTGTGTGTGTTTGTGTGTGTATGTCTGATATTAAGTGCCTTTTTTGTATTTTTTATGTTTATCTGTATGCTGTAAGGAGTGTCTTTCCCAACTGATTTCCTGAACATCCTCTTTTTTGTACAGCATTTTGATATTTACATTATTGTTTGCATTATAGTCACTTACAGAATGAGCATTCATGTACAGTAACAGCAGGAATAAGTCCAATAAGAGCTGGTGAAGAGGAGAGGTTCATTATATGTAATACTTGAAACTGTTTGTATCTGGCTTATTGATTAAAATGTGATTGTTCCCCAGATGAATATTCACTTTGCTTGCTGGACATAAAAGGGCCACAATAACTGGACATTTGCCCAAAAATGTGAAATTTGCCATTCCTAAATAAAAATGGGGATGTGGATTAAGAGTTTTTTTCATCTGGAAATGTTTGAAGAACATGTCTGTAGCATTGCCCATTTTATTTTAATATTGGTTAGCATGCACCTATCAGAATAAGAACTGTTCTGGAAGCAAGAATAATCGAATTGGTTGAGGTAAACCTCCATGGTTGGAGCCAAAGAGCCACAGTTTGTCTGCCAAGGCTGAACACCGTTGAAAGAACTCACAGCAGAGGATTAGACAAGCAAAGCACACTTTCAGATACTTAATATAACTAAGATTATCTGCCTGACTTCTGAAACATCACTGACGTCAGAACCTCTAATCTGACTGGAACTAATGCAGTATTAATACGCACATCGATGCCATATACAACGCAAAACAAAGAAAAAGACTCCTTCGGAAAAAAGCAAATGACAGGTAAATGGTGTTATGTTAAGAAGCCTGACGAGAAAATAGAGAGTGCTATCTTATATTTCAAAACCATGCGCTGAATGGATAGCCACACTATCGAGAAACAAAAGAAAAGACTGACAGCCTCCTTTATACACTGATCTTTACAGTCAGAGAGCTACACAATGTGTGACTGAAACACTGAACAACAAGTCGACAACGAGTACATCTGTGGTAGGAAACCCCTGAAATCCCACTGCTGCACCCTAACAGCAGTGGACTTACATTTAGCCCTGACGTTGGACTGTTAGATATTACGTCCCTGACAAGCAAATCCAATGAAGTACCTATTTCTGATTTATTTCTAGCATACAGCAGCTCTGGATTGTAAAAATGTAAATGTTGAAAATTGGAATTCACCAGAGGGAAGATGTATTCATACATTTATTTGACCATTTATCGTAAAACTTTAATTAAAGAGGCAACAGATAGCATCTTTTCCTAAATATATCATTATGAAAATAATGTGGGTTGCACAGGGTAGTGGCCACAGTAAAATCAGACTATCAGCGTTTACATTGGTTACTTAGTGGCTTTGCAATCTTTGTAATAAGCTTCTGTCACTGGGGCTGAAATTTCGCGGAAAAAATCTGCTTTACAGCAGGAAACGTGTCATGTATTGCGAAACTGGTCGGTCAGCCAATCAGGGACTGGAGCTGGTCCTTATGAGGAGTTGGGCATGAGATAGTTGAGTCACGAGCACAATGACAGATGGACAAAGTTTGGAGACAAGTGAAAAACGGCCTAGCAAAAGAAAACGAGCTCCTCTGTCTGAGGAGGCAAAGAAGAGCAAAAAGGAGAGTGATAAAAGAAGAGGAAAACAAGAGTAAACCTCAGTCAGGCGTTCAAGAGATGGAGGGAGCTCCATGACCAAAGAGGCTTCAAAACCGATGTCCAGCTAGCTTTCTTTCTAATGGATCAGTAAGTAACACGGCTAAATGTTAGCTAGACGAGAGAGGACTGTACTGTACTGGCTGCTAGTTCATTCCTAGCTGGCCAGCATTGCAAATTGCCGCAACCAGGGACCGGGTAGCGAGTGTTGGTCGGCTGACATCCTCGTTGCCATTCTACGGCATTCATTCGTGAGTAATCCATCCAAGAGTAATGTGTGTGCAAAGCTGTATGAAAGCTCCGTTATACATATTTTTAGTTTAACTTTTAATTTTTTTTCGCTGTTAAAACATTGGACTACCGACAAGTGCTTGGTCTTGTCGGAAAGCTGCAGAAGAGAGAGCAGATTTAAAATTTTGCAGTAGCATCGGCTGATGGAGATCGTGGCAAAGTTTCATTGGATAACTAGAATAGTGAATACCCATAGTCAGCTGATAAGAGGAAGCAGTGGGGGTGGGATGGAGAGAATTGTGAATGGATAAGCACAAAGAAAGTCTCCCTGATTAAACACATAAAATCCCAAATCTGAAAACTGTAATTATAAAACCATACACTGTAGATGTATTTGTAAATACAGTCTATGTACAAAACATGAAACAAATGTCACATCTTGAGCTGAGTTTAGAGAGCACCAAAATCATCTACCCACTCAGGTAAATCAAATGTGATAATCCATACAAATTTAAATACGCTGCTGTAAAACTAGTAGTTCAACGTTTTGGGAAACATGCTTATTCTCTTTCTGTCTGTGTGAGTTTTCATGTTTTGCTTTCACCCACAGAGACTATGACTAAACGGGATCTCGTCTTGCCAAAATATATAGGCTATAGCAGAGCTTCTAAACTATGGAACAATCACCCATCTGAGATAAAAAGCAGTAAAATCTATCACACCTGCAAACAAAAGCACAAGACCTGTTTTTTGGACAATCAGATATGTAAACATAAACAACACAGTGTTGCTCACCATCACCACAACATATTGTTATTTTTGGATAAATTGCTGCTAACTTGCTTTATGTCCTTGTCCACTGCCAGACAGCCAACTCTGCATGGATATGTATGTATGCTGTATCTATTTTATTAAGAGCATAGCCAACTTTCTGTAGCATGGCTTGTGCGTCAGTGCATTTGACCGTACATAATGACTGTTGTGTTTTATCTATTTTGCTGCTCTGCATGTCTGAGTGTAATGCCAATCTGTGTGTTGGTGCTTGGTGTTTCTTGCATGTCTGTTTGTGCTATCATACAGTTTGTTGTTGTTGTGTCATTGTATTGTGCTGGTGCTCTGCTGTTGCTTGCTGCTTTGCATAGCCTCTGTTCTATCTTGACAATTTCTTATTGATATAATCATTCTATCTTTATGTCTCTGTGCTGTTTTTGTCCTGTTAATTGTCCTGTGATCTCACAGAAATATGTGAAATGACTACGACCTCTTAACACCGCATTCAGTGGTGGCAGCACGTAATGGGTTGAAATTACGTGCCGGTACCACGGGAACAATGCCAATGTAAAGTCGATGTTTTTGTGTGTATACAGGACGTTGTTGAATCAGGGGATCCGTGTGTCCACCATGGGATCCTAATTGACTTTACATTGGCATTGTTTCTGTGGTACCGGCACGTAATTTCAACCCATTACGTGCTGCCACCACGGAATGCAGTGTTAAGAGATGGTCATTTCACGTATTTCTGTGAGATCTGTAATTTACCTGGATACTCTGTAGAGGAGGGCGTGTTTGTCTTACATGAACAGAATTACTGATGTGGTGAAAGATAATTTATCATCATAAGGATTGTAAAAACTCATGCTTGTTAAGCATGGATTTGTCTTATTGTCCTGGCCGGGTTAAAACTTATGGTGATGTCCCCAAGTTTACTCAATGTGGAAATAACAGACAACTTTTTAACTAACTAGCTAACGCTGTCTGCTTATTAACTCCTTGATCATAACAGGAATTGCCCATTGGATCGACAGCCCATTGGTTCGACATCCCATTGTTCCGACCATATTAAACTGTTCTGAAGTCCGTTCCGAAATCATCATGATGCCCTGTGGTTAAGGTCTGGTTAGGTTTAGGCACAAAAACCACTTGGTTAGGGTCAGGAAAAGATCATGGTGTGGGTTAATATGAAAAAGAAAGTGACAAACACATAAGCCGTGAGCCTGCTCCGCCTCAAGCCGGTCGCGGCGCACCATACGCCCGCTGCGAGCCGTTCAGCACCGCGGACAGTCAGACTAATGGGATGTCGAACCAATGGGCTGTCGAACCAATGACATGGACCCGATCATAACAGAATATAGTAACTTTCACAACTGCTCATTTTAGAAAGGACGAACATGTTGTTTGTTTAGATTAATAAACAGACAATGGATTATTGTTTGTTTCTAGCTATCAACAATCAGCCATAGGTAGCACCCAAGCCACGTTAGCTACATCGCTAATGTTAGGGTGCCTTTCACTTTCCCTGCCTGAATGTAGATGGGAACTGATCAAACATTGTCCGTTTGATAATCTAACAAAAATACACATTTTCTTGTGATGTCCTTTCTAAAATGAGCAGCTGTGAAATTTAATATATTCTGTTATGATCAAGGAGTTAATAAGCACACAGTGTTAGCTAGCTAGTTGAAAAGGTGTCTAATATTACTTACACATAAAATTATATTTTATGAGGACGTTTCCACAAGTATTAATCAAGGACAAGAAAACAAATCCATGCTTGACAAATGCGAGTTTTTACAGTTCCTTATGATGATGAATTATCTTTAATTACGTCAGTAATTCAGTTCGTGTAAGACAAACACACATTCCTCTACTGAGCGTCCAGCAGCAATTAGAGCCTAAATATCAAGATTCTAATTAACTGGAGACAAAACTTTATTTTCTACTACACATTGATCATAACATATGTATGTGTATGTCTACGATCTTGCACAAACAAACCAACCCAGAGCAATTCCAAAGTTACAGTGGCTGGACATCTTCATGTACCTTGTGAAAAAACCCAGCTATACAAAAGAATAACTCATAGCATACAAATCTCTCCATGCAGACAGTTGTGAATTTTGCAGTCACGTCCAGGATGTTTAATACTGAGATCTGTCAAAGGATATTTTTAAAAAATATAGTTAAACAACTATACAGGCGGCAAACTGCACTTCACGGCTTGGTTACTATAAACTTGTTTTCATTGTTTAATGTATTTTAGAACAGTGTAAATACTGCTGCCACTAGGTAGATGTAAATGTAGGCTGCCTTAATTTTATTTCATGCTGTAACTGTAGGGCTCTCTGAATTGCATATATTATGTAGATTTTTTGTTTACATCAAATCTAGCAACTGTCTTCATTTAGCTTCAAACGGCATCCTCAGCAACGGTTTTCTATTAAAATATAGGACATCTTATTCTGTATTCCTGTTCTGACATCCAACAGCACAATAAGACATGTTTTATTCCAGGTCTTTCAACTTTTCTGCCACCAGTATGCACACGCAACTGCTGTGACGTCCACTCAAAATTAGTCTATAGACCCCCATATTAAACAGCAGAAATAAACATGTTGACAGCCTTGTACAAAAAAAAAGGTCTATTGCTAATTTCAATAATCATGAAAACTGTACAGGTGTAATTTTTTTTTATAACTCAAACATTTACATTTTATGAAGGCCCAAAGTTGCA